ATTTGCAGATGACATGATACTATACTTAGAAAACCCCAAAGATTCCATCAAAAATTTACTAGACTTAATAAATGAATTTGGAAAAGTAGCAGGATACAAAATTAATGTCAAGAAATAAATGGCATTCTTATACACCAATAATGAACTCACAGAAAGAGAAATTAAGAAAACAATTCCATTTACTATTGCGGCAAAATAATTAAGATACCTAGGAATAAACTTAATCAAAGAAATAAAGGACCTATTCACAGAAAACTAAAAGTCATTGAAAAAAAAAATAGAGGAAGATATTAAAAAATGGAAGCACATACCCTGTTCATGGATTGGAAGAATTAACATCATTAAAATATCCATATTACCCAAAGCAATCTATAGATTCAATGCAATCCCCATCAAAATACCAATGGCATACTTTACAGAATTAGAACAAGTACTTCAAAAGTTCATATGGAACCAAAAAAGACCTCAAATAACCACAGAAATATTGAAAAAAGAAGAACAAAGTTGGAGGGATCACATTACCAGATTGCAGGTTATACTACAAAGCCACTGTAATCAAAACAGCCTAGTACTTGCACAAGAATAGGCATATAGACCAGTGGAACACAACAGAGAACCCCGAAATGGACCCAAGGCAATATGCTCAATTAATATTTGACAAAGGTGGCAAGAGCATACAGTGAAATAAAGACAACCTCTTTAATAAATGGTGTTGGGAAAATTGGACAGCTACATACAGAAAAATGAAACTAGACCATCAACTTAAACCCTACACAAGAATAAACTCAAAATGAATAAAAGACTTAAATGTGACTCATGAATCCATAAAAATCCTAGAAGAAACTGTAGGCAACAAAATTTCAGACATCATAAGCAGCAGAATTTTCACTGATACATCACCTAAGGCAATAGAAACAAAGGAGTAAATGAACACATGGGACTACATCAAACTCAAAAGCTTCTGCACAGCGAAAGATACAATCATCCAAAGGGAAAGGCTACGCACTGTATGGGAGAACATAATTGCCAATGATATATCAGATAAGGGGTTAATTTCCAATATGTATAGAGTGCTAATACAACTCAACAAAATGAAGACAAAGAACCCAATTAAAAAATGGGCAGAGGACCTCAGTAGACACCTCTCCAAACAGGACGTACAAATGGCTAAGAGACATACAAAGAAATGCTCAACATCACTAATCATCAGAGAGATGCCAATGAAAACAACAATGAGGTATCACCTCACACTTGTCAGAATGGCAGCCATTAACAAATCTTCAAACAACAAATGTTGGCGAGGGTGTGGATAAAAGGGAACTCTAGGACACTGCTGGTGGGAATGCAGACTAGTGCAGGCACTATGGAAAACAATATGGTGTTATCTCAAAAAATTAAAAATTGAACTTCCATTTGACCCAGTGATCCCACTTCTAGGAATATACTCTAAGAAGCCTGAAACACCTATCAGAAAGAATATATGTACGTTCATATTTGTAGCAGCACTATTTACAATCGCTAAGATCTGGAAACAGCCCAAGTGTCCTTCAGTAGAGTAATGGATAAAATATCTGTGGTACATATACACAGTGGAGCACTACGCAGCTGTATGAAAGATCTCTTATCCTTTGAGACTACATGGAGGGATCTGGAAAGTATTATCATAAGAGAAACAAGCCAAACAGAGAAAGACAAGTATCATATTATCTCACTTATTTGTGGAATATAATGAACATAACCGTCTGAGGAAGGGGTAGTCCTAGAGACGTGGAAGTTGGGTACAAACTAACAATACCCAGAGGATGTGGTGGTGGGTGAGAGATAGACCACAGAACTTATATGCATGTGTGCATGAACAATGGACATGGACAGCAGGGCTGGGGACAGTGCAGGCAGGTAGGGGGAGGGGGGAATCAGTGGGGGAAAAATGAGAAACATCTGTAACAAAAATAAATTAATTAATTAATAAAAATAAAATACAATAAGAAATAGAAAATCCATGGACATAGACAATAGTGTGGTGAGGGCCAAGGGAGGAAAAGAAAAGAGAAAAAAAAAAGAACAAAAAACAACTAGCATATATGTACCCCTATGTTCATAGCAACACTATTTACAATCACTAAGATCTGTTGACTGTTATTCCCATGTCATAGATGAAGAGAATGAGGTTCACTGAGGTTAAGAAACTTACCCTACAATCACAGTTCTTAATGTTGGGTACAGGAATTGAACCTATAACTGTCCAATTCCAGGCTTTGAACTCTTAGTTAATAGGCTATACTGCCAATCTAGAGATCAATATTAATAATGGGTACTCAGAGACCTTCAGTGAGCTCCTGCCCTGTTACATGAGTAGTGGGCAATTCTTAACTTTTCTACTTTTCTAGGCTTCTGAAATCCAAAGACAACTGATCCAGACAACCAGGCCTATCCAAGTGTTCTAGAAATGCAAGCAAAGTCATAAGCATATTAAAACTTGGCTAGCTTGTCTGCCTCCAACACTATCTTATTTTGCATAAATAACTGGAAGGCAGTTCAATATTTATGGATTTCCTTCATAATTGTATATATTTTCAAAATGTGTTCATTCCTTTTATGTATTTAATTTTATTTTTTATTTCACCATTTATTCCCTCTATGTCCTCTCCCGCCTCTACTCACCCCTCTCTCCACCACACTGTTGTTCAATGGGCTAGGGAGAGGACTTAGTTTGGAATCTTCTGTTTGTAGCATTGAGTTTTACACACTTGTCATTTCTGAACGGCTTAGAGTTGGGGATTCTTCCCACATCTGTCTTATCCACACAAAGATAAGAAAACTGAGACACTTTTTTTTGGATTTGGACTCTGCATACCACTAGAGACAACTGTGTACTTCCACATTTTTCTACCCAGTCATGTGATGGAGATGGATGAGGTTGACTGTCTTAGTGGAAGGTCTCCATTTCTGCCCCGTGCCTACTTACCCACATGCTTCTGCAGCTGAATTATTGCAGAAGATTCTAATGTTAAAATGGGCCAATGGGGCTGATGCTTCTCTCTGGCCTTTGGTCTGTACCCTACTTCCCCAGATGCTTACTTGAAGCAGTTATTCAAATGACTTGGGTATCTAGTTAAAAATGCCACAGCAGACTTTCTATAGACTACCCATGGGAAATTCTGACTCACATGCAGCTCACATTCATTCAACAATGGCTACGGCCCAGGCCAGAGTGGCTCAGCAGTTAGAGAGTCTGCCTGAGGTCCGGAGAGACCCAGGTTTGGTTCCCGCTAAGGGCATGTACCACGGTTGCAGTTTGTCCCTAGCCCCGGTTGGGTCCTTAGCCCCAATTGGGTCGTGCAGGAGGCAGCCACTCGATGTGTCCCTTTCACATTAATTTCTCTCTCTCTCTCTCTCTCTCTCTCTCTGCCCCCCCCGCTCCCACTCTATCTGAACAAAAAATGGAAAAATGTCCTCATGTGAGAATAAAAAACAAAACAAAACAATGGCTATGTCCTTTAACATTTCCCTTAATATAGTATTACATAAGAAAGTATTTTAGATGCCAACAATAATTTACTTCTCTATCAGCAGAAATTACTTTTATTGCATAGTACAGGTTAAAAAGTATCACATAATCATTGAAGTTGATGCTTAGAAAAGGAGCCCATATGTTATGCATAACACAAGGAATAAATGAATCATTTAGTGAAATATCATCTGCTGGACTATGAAGTGCATGTAACTCATGCATGGGAATTACTTTCCAAGAAGGCAGGAGAGCACCCTGATCACTTTTAGGTAGTCTCCAATCTCTCCTCAGATACCTCACTCCCAACCAACACAGGTATGATTTCCTCACGGTGGAAGCTGCCTCCTCTTTGGGAAGCTAACAAAGGGGACACTGGAGAGCCCTCTCAGAACCAAGATCAACACAGTGCTAGAAAAATCCATTTAAACATGAAAAGGGGACACCTAGCTAGTTTCCAGACATCATATAGTCTTTCAAACACATCCCACCCTCACCCCCACCCCAAAGCAGAAATTCTAATACTCCAGTTACATCAGTTAGTAGGTGGCCTCAGTGTTTCCCTTTCTCCAAGTTAGCTAGAGGAGAATCAGCTGGGAATTCTTACCATCCATGTCCTGGGGGACAAATTACTGATACTTGAAGGTCGTTTCCCTTCCCTGAAGGAATTGGCAATAAGTGTTACCAAATCAGATGCATCCTAGATGTTTATTTGGCCTCAGATGTTGATGGCTATAATTGCTGTCCAAGTTCACTGGCTATGTCTATATCATGCCAAGAAAATTTGGTTAACTCCAATTTATTTAGACAAAAGAAAAAGAGAATATTTTCAACTCAATACCACATAGAATGACAACCAGCTTGATATCATTATAGGCCATGGCTCTCTACCATTTTGTGTATAAGGATTCTTTTCTAAATATAAATGTATAATACATGGAAATATAAATTTAATACATAATATAAAATATATTTAAGTAAATTTTATTTTATATACATCATTTATATGTATATTTTAAATGTATGCATAACATTATATATTTATTATATAAACATAAATATATAAATATATTTTATATATATAGCATATACATATTGTGACATGTGTGTCACAAACACACACATACCTCCACAGGATTGTTATATACTTTTAGAATCTCTGTTGGAGAAAATATATAGTGATTTTAACAAACTTAATACAAATTAGCAGATTTAAATGAATTCATATTTTATTAATCACAATAACACAAACTTTATTTATGCTACAGAGATTTTGGACCTAACTAAAGATTAAAATAATAGTGCTTCATATACATATGAAGTTTTAGTCCCCTAGTAGGTACTGTCTAAATTTTAATTAAATTCATGAATAATGAATAACTTTTCCAATGTCCACATGATTGTGTTATTGTATGAATTCAGCTTAAGTAATATGGTGTATATTTTCATGATGTCATTTAAAGGCCTGACCAAGATTTGCTCTGATTTTCAGAATTCTTTGGTGATCTGGACACATTGATGGGGCCTCTGACTCAGCACAGCAGCATGACCAATCTTGTCCGCTACGTTCGCCAGGGACTGTGTTGGCTGCGCATTGATGCCCATTTATTGTAGTGGATGTTCCCCCATCTCCAGCATTACCATCCATCATTCTACTTCTACCAGAGTACCAGTGGTTACTGATGGAACTCCACTCATTTGGGAAAGTTCTCTTTATGTTTGTTTTTGTGCTTCTCTTGATATCTATGAAAAACAAAAAATCATTGTAAGTGGACACTACAACTTGAGAACAATGTATGCTTTATTACTTAGTCATTTTTTAGTATTTTGTATGCATTTCTTAGATCCCACCACCCTTTGTGTTGAATGGAATGACACAGTCCCTACAGTATTATTTTAAGTCCACACAACCCAAAACAAAGAATGGAAAATACTTGTGATAATAATAGGTACCGGAGAAATGAAACTATGTGTATATATATATATATATATATATATATATATATATATATATGAACTTAGACACAAAGGACCTGGCAAGTGTTCAAATTTTCAGCAACAGCCATTCCCCAAACTGTATTTTTATGTCCAGAATTATTTCAGAATCCATTGTTAAATACTTGTGGTATCCACAGACTCAATCTTCAGGTGAGAAATTTCATTGTCAAAATCCAATAGTTAGATGTAGCAATATCATTAAATCAAGAGTGTTAAGAAAACAACTGAGTATACCAATGCCACTCTTAAAATGATACTGTGGCACACAACCAGAAACAGTTTTTGTTAGCATCCCCTTCCCTAATTCCCCGTTTTTAAAATTTTAATAATGAGGAGTGGCAACATTTACTTTGAAAACTTTAAGGCATCAGCTGGCATAAATATTGTTAAACTCCATGATTTTAAATGTAAATCTTCACCTGGGATTCTCTTTATGTAAAGCTCTTCTCTGGAGGGACAGTTTAGTGGGCACATGCCTCAGTAGCCAAAATGCTTCACTCCAGTTTCAGAGATGAGAGAGAGGAGGCCTGGAAAATGTCCAAGGAATTCATACCTCTGCTTCTTTTGCAGCTGGTAGGTGGGTCCATAACTGGCAGGATTATTTTATTGCATTTTGCTCAAACCTATGGAAACAAAAGTCAAGTTATTACTATCTAGAAGTAATAATATACAGTTTGCTTTCTAGTGGCTTTAAAATATAGACCTTCTCCAATTATTATCCCCAGTTTCTATTTTACAGCATTTCTTATTTTATTTATTTCTATTCTATTTATTTTCCTTTTTGGGGGCTCATTAGATCTTGACTGAAATACAATCACTGATTTTATTCAAGTCTCTATAAATATGAATCATTTACATTTAAATTCCAAAGATAAGTCCAAACTTTCAAAGTAGTAGAGCTAGCCTTTTGCTTCAACCTAGGTTATTTGGAAAAAAATCCTGAAGACTATGAACAGTTCACCTAATATGGACATTTCCAGATCATTTGCAATTATCCCCCACCCCTATGACCCTGTACATTTATTTTATGGTCCTAAACATTACAATGTAAATATCATCTTTGATATTCTATCTCACCAGAAGAATCCCCTGCATGTACTAGACACTAGCCATACTATAGTTATTTGTACTTACATGCTGGTATATAATTCTTCATAGCCTTTTATTTGCTGAGTTATTGAATTCTGTTCACTGAGTTATGACAAGTTAAATAATAGATATATGCACATGAAAGATGCAAACTTGTATGATTTTTGAACTAAGTCATGCAAGATTGTGATTGAAATAGCAAAAGATCATCCTGTACTCATTGTCAAGGTTAGATATCACCACAGTTGCAAAAGAGCCAGACTTGAGCTCTGCTCTGGTCATCTTTGAGCTTAAGGTCCTCTGTTTCATAATAAGGTTGTGGCAGTTTACTCCAATGGCTGAGGCTACATTGTTAAAAGAAGTGTTGGGAGTGTTCCAGCAGCTGAACCCAGCAATTTTTAAGCTCCCCGTGTGGTTGGGCTTTACGTTCACACTCTCAGCAACAACACTCACACATGCAGACACACACATACAATAACTGAAACTGAAGATATTTATTTCTGAGTCTCTTAAATGAAGAAAATAATAATATGAAAGATTCCAAACATCCAATGTGGGTATCACATATAAAAGTTAAGCTGATGGCTTTGCATTGACTCAAGTTCTCTGTTATAATGGCTTACCAAGTAGAGTGCCTATTACTATATGGGGTGAGATAAAGTAGGTTTATAGTTTTTCAAATGGAAAATAATACAATAATTCATAATTAATAATACAGTGATATTCTGTTTCTATACTCACAACTTCAACCCTACTTTTGCCCACTAGCTTGACTTACAATTTCAATCTAGACCACATTTCTAGACCATCATGAATTTAGGAGAAGATTCTTCTAGAAATTAAACTTCCAGAAATTAAGTATTAGACTGCTAGGGGTAGTTTCCCAGGGAAATAAGCATATTGCCTCATGAATGTAAGATTTGCAACTCTGGTTTCACCGAGTTGTTACATCTACTCTACATATGATGGGAAGGTAGCAGAGAATCCTGTTGCCTGATGTCACTTCTGGTAGCTAAATGTAGTGTGTACCAAGTCAGCAGCACAATGATCACATCTTACAGTCAAGCTCAGGATCACCACCAGATTATTTAGTATACCCATTTTTAAAGCAGCTTAGAAACCAATTAAATATGGAGGATGAATTGCCTTCCTGTCCCTGAAGATGATATATCTTTCAGTTTTATGACTAAGAATCATTGTTATTTTCTAGGCACTCTATTTATCACATTGTAAATGGTGATGTGTGTTGTAGGGGTGCAGCTATTTGAGGGATTGAGATAGTTTGTCAAGTAAATCTCTTCAATGTACCAGTTTGTGGGAGGGATGCAAGGCATATGGGTGGCAGTGGGAGATCCTGCCTTGAGACCTTGATGGAGGCTTGGTGAGACATATCTCAATAAGCACATGGAGGTAGGGTAATGGACAGAACAAAGAGCAGCTCCACCTGAGCAAGAACACAGAAGAATCTCATCCATGCAAAGTGACCTAGGTAGGGCCACCACTATAGCTCCATTTGTCACCCAAGCTCCAACCAGAGAGAATTTGAAAAGTTTGTGTTATGATATTGGCCTGGCTTTGTATGTTTAATTGATTGGATTTTTTAGTAGTTTTGTCATATTACTGTCTGAGTTTTATAGGTAGAATTAATTTGAAAAGGGTATACTAGTGTGGTCCTCAGGGTAGAATTTAGCCATAAAGCATGTTGTTAGCCAGCCTGTAGACTCTTAATTGTTTAATAAACACATTGGGAAAATACTAGTAGTTTTATATTTGGATGGCATAATTGGAAAAGCAGATTAGCTGCTGTTCATTTTCAAAAGACTTGAGGTTGGGATGACTTTTTTTCATATAATTACATAAAAAGATTCAAACTTCCTTTCAATAACCAAGTTGCTAAATTAGAAACCATTTGCTAAAATATGTTTTGTTGACTTTTCAATTAGATAGACTTTTATTTGGACATTATATCATTAAATACATTGAATTGGGTTTACTTTGGAAAGATACTTGTTCTGTCATATCTTTCCCAAAGGTTTCTAATTCAGATTATGTTTTATTTAAATTTACATCCCAGAGGTTGAAGTTAGAGTTAGAAGTTGGAAAGCATTTTTGAAGGAAAAAATCAATTTAACTGTGAGGGTGAAACCCTCACATACTTCTCAACAGACATGATAAAATTCACCTGCATGAGTCCGCAGGTAGGAGAACCAAACTGGATCACTGGGTAGGAATACTCAGTAATGAATAAAACTTGCTTGGAGAAGCATTACCATACCCACTGAGACAATGTGTGGTGAGATGATATAGCTACACAATATCGAATTAATGGGTTGATTCAGTGCCCCTAAATTCAATTATGTGGGGGAAAATATTGAGCCAGTTGTCACTGCTATATTATGCAACTGGCAGACTAAATTATTCCTTATACTCCTCCTCTTGTTTCTTCTTCTTCTTCTTCTTCTTCTTCTTCTTCTTCTTCTTCATCATCCTCTTCCTCTTCCTCTGCTTCTATATCATTGTTGTTGTTTCTCATTTCCAACCACACAAACCTTGTTCTCATAATTAAACTATGATTTGTTTATCTTCAGTGTTAGCAAACTCCAACAATAGAAATGGCATCTGTGTATTGATAATCAGCATTTACTGATGCTAACCAGATAGGCTGGTCTCAGACCTTAATCCTACCATCTTATATTTTCTAGGAAAGAAAAAGTATTGATTCCCTTTCCATTCTCTTCCTCACAAATCTAGAAGTCCTCTTCACCAAGAGCATCAAATTTTCCTCTGTAATCCACTGACTAAAATAAAATTGCATTGTAGGGAGGGTAGAGGGGACCAGGGGGGTGGAGGGTAGGGAAGCCCTTCCAGGTCAGGCTGAAGTTCTCACCCCTTTCTGCTTCTGACATGAGACATTAATGAATAATTTATCAGGCTCACATTGGGTTAGGGGACACTGAAATGCTTTTTTGATCCATTATCAATCATCATTCTTCTAAGAGATCAGAGCTTTGCTGTTTCATCAACTGTGCAGTGTAGACTATCATGTTTAATAAAATTTATTCAAAATTCCAAAGTCTTTTGCCAGTGACTTCAATTTTTTTTTCTTTTCGCTCTTTGATTTGTACCAAACTTTGAGGAGGGAAGGGGGAAGCAAAGAAAGCCTGTCTAATACCAAGGCTCTGGCAAGATGTCCTTCATGGGATTTTGGCTTTCCCTTCCTGAAAAGCCTTATTTTAGAGTTCTAGGAGGTCATGACTATATTACTATATAAATACAGTTTTTGATATGAAAACATCTTTCCTCTTGGAAGCTTTTATCATAATATTATGGTTCAATCACATGGATTCCACTGGCTTTTGTGAGGGAAGAGGTTCTGTTCAAATCCAACTGAATTTCTAAGAGAACTTTTAGATCAAGACATATGGGAGGGAAGATGAAGGCCACCTTAGCTGCAATGAATGAGCTGAATTGAGCCCTCAGGATTGGAGTGAACTTGCCCTGAGCTGAAATTCAAGTCCCTGAGGTCAATTTCTTGGCCTGGGTTCTTTCTACATCTGTAGACAAGCAGAACCACCAGAAACAGCCTGGGCTGCTTTCTGAGAAGAACACTTCCCAAGGCCTTGCCCCCAGCGGAAGACCCTTTTCCACACTGATGGTACTCAAGGTGGCCTTTAAAATGTGATCATTCATAAACCGCCCCCGTTGTGCTACCATAATCCAATTGGTCTTTTGAACTGCTTTATTGAGTGGTGCAAA